GGGGAGTGGCCACGCAGGGAAGACTCCCCCCAGTTCAACCAGCTGACCTGCCGCACGTGGCTACAGGGAGCCTCGGTTGGTGGCCCTCGCGTCCTGGCAAGCAAGGCCAGCCAGCCTTGCTTCTGGGTGCAAGGCCAGCCGGTGAGGCCCTGGGCCACAGACCCCTCGGGCCGACTCCGAGCGAATTCCAGCTGCCCTGGTGCCAGCTAACAGGTGTGCGTGGACAGGAGGAGGGCTGGGGCCATGGCTCCTCCCTTGTACCCAGCACCCCGATAAAATCCTCAGCTTGCTTCATTGACAATGGCCATGTTGGTCCACAGAAGGTTCAGACTATGGTATCCCTGGCAACCTGTTCCCTAGCAACCGGTCTCTCCGGTACATCCCTTGGGAAGACCATGCCATTGTGCCAGGTCTCCTTGCTCTTCCTGGCATGGGTCTCTGCCAACCGGGCTCAGCTGAAGCGGCAGAGAGTTAGCGAGCTGGAGCGGGCTCTGGGGGACATGCCGGAGCCCGCCTGCCCTCTTGGAAGCAGTGCGCAGCAGGGGGGCAGCAGCGCAGATGACCCCTTCCCGCTGCTGCCGTGGGCCTTGCTGCTGGCCTTCTCGGGGTCCTTTGTCTTTTACCTCCTGTTCGCCAAAGAGCAGGGGGTGAGCAGCTCGGCCTCCTTCCTCCCTCCCCACCATCCGGGAGGCTTCCTTCCCGTTTCTCTGCACGCCCGCTTGCCCGCTGCCAATCCGCCTCTGCCAGCGACCAGCACGTGGTTGGGCAAGGAATCCTGTCCCCAGCTAATGATATATTGTCTACCGAAGGGCCTCCTTTTGTTTGTGTTTCACCTGGTACCTTTCAATTTTAGCAGAGACGGGTAGCTTGAGGCAAGACGAATCTGTCCTCTGGTCTAAGTGAGGTTTTTATCTGTGCCTGTCCCCCCCAACTTATGGGGTACTGGGGGGATCCAGATGGTAGTCCTCCGGTCGCCCCTCAGCCTTTGGGTCAGGCGGGCTAGGAACGGTGGACTCATCCAACCCAGGTTGGGGCGAGCTTTGTCCAGCGCATTCGCCACCGCAAGAAGAACAGAGCGCACCTTTGCATCATTTCCCCGGACAACCGTCCTGATCAAAAGAGCTGTTCCCCACCTCCCGCAACTCTGCCTCTGCCCCTTTCCGGGTGTTAAAATGCATTTGAAAAGGGGACAAGGGCCTGCGGTCTGCTCATTCCGATGGGGACAGTGGAAGGGGGTCGAGCGTGGCTTGTGTGAATCTAGGGGGCACCCGGGTCACCCTGGAAGCCCCTTCTCGAAACCCCAGCTGGACAGGCCTCTGTGGCAGATTCTAGAGTCCCACTTGCTTCGGTCAACCCAAACCTCCATTTTTATCTCACCTGTTTCAGGAATGGCCTTTGGCAGTGAAAAATAGGGTTTGGCCCTTGGTGCTAATTTCATCCTGGTTGAAAGACAGAAACCTCCTTCACCCGTTCAGAGACGCCCCAGAGGTTTGATTTATTCATTATTCCCCATATTCATGGCTGTGTCCTTGGATTTCTCCAGAGCGAGGCTCTGATGCCAGCTCTGGCCCCGCCGGGTGCCTGGGTTTGGGGCAACCGCTGCACTTCCACCCGCAGGTTGCTGATGCGAGCACAGACTCAGACGCCCAGCTGGAGGAGACTTTGTTGCGCGACGTCTCTGGAGTCCTTCACATCATCCGGCACCGGCTGTGGAAGATTGTGCGAGACAGGAGGAAACACCAGCAGCTCCTGCAAGAGAGCCATTGACGGGCAGGACAAAAGCTACCACGCGGGATGAGGAGGAGGCGGACCCGCTCCGGATAAAGGCTAGGCTTTAGGGAATAAAGAGGAATTGAAGAAAAGGGGCCCCTCTTGTCTGCGTGTTTGCGTGTACACGCGTAGTGCGCCAAAAGCCAGGGCCAGCCTCCACCTGTTGCCCCCCTCCAGGAACAAATCCTTCAGGCGGCAGATCCACTCCACGCCCACAGGACTCCTCCTGCGGGTGCCAAGAGCGTAGCCCACGGCTGCCCTGATTACAGGTTGCCGAAAGCTGTGCTCTGTCTGCGGTCTGCCTGCATTTACTCGCAGTAGCCTGTCCGTTTCCTGACTTCAGAACACACAGGACTTCGTTCTTGGCCCATCGCCACTGCTCCCTGCCATTCCAAGGAAGCCCCCCACCTCTGGCTGCGCCCCACTTCCCTTCCAAAGACGGGAAGATGGGAAGATCGGGGCTGCGGCTGCAACCGCTGGGCTGCAGTCCCCCCACCTAAATTCGGGCACTGCGGGGGTGTGCGCGTGGACTCGGGGCAATTATTTCCCAAACCGAACTCAGTATAAATAAATAAATAAATAAATAATTAATCCAGCTTGTAATTTCTTATCTGGCCTGTAGCTTGATCAGTAATACGCAGCCTGCTGGAAGGCCAAGGAGGCCAGGTTGCCTCTCTTACTCCCCGGATCTTCCTCCTGGATTTGTTTGGGGACGCACAGCCCTACCGGAAAGGATGTCCAGATCCAAGTGGGTCGGGGCTCTTCTGATATACGCTGATTCGGAGCCTGCATTTTTCTCAGTCGTACGGTGTGTGAAAATGGACCAGTAAAATGATTTGGGTGATTTTGCCCCTTAATTTTGGCGCTAATGGTATTCAAAGTCGTAAAGGAGCTACTTTAAAGCGCTGGTTCTTTATCTTCCTTTTATGGAAGCTTTCCCAAAGCAGAGGTAGGGAAATGGCAGACGTTGCCGCGTGCGAGGGCGCGGCCATGTTATCTTCCTCTCTTGGCAAGCCCTCCTGAGAGATCGTATTTGTGCAGAGGCAGCGCCAGGCCTTCCCTGCCTCTCCAGTGCCAGGCAGCCGGCAAGCACTGCCCGGCTGGCTCCCTATCCTGGCAAAGCGCCTCTGAGCAGGCGTCTTCCTCCTGCTTCGGCGGTCCTGGAGCTACGGAAGAGGACACGGTCCCGAGGAGGAGTCGGGCCAATGCCTCTCCTCCGCCATCCTGCCTGTCCCAGCGGTGCTGCCCCACGGTGCCCTAACTGCCCCGCCTTTTTGCCTGGGGCAGCCGCCCACAACCCCTCCCTGGCACCCTGTGGGCTGCCTCCAGAGCCTCAGGCCTGCCCTCAGCTGGGCCGGAGCAGGGGGACCCTGGAGGTCCTGGATGAGCTGACTGCCTACAGACACCTTTTCAGAAGGATGTTAATTAGTCCCACACTTAATTAAAGTATGGCATTATGAAGGCAGTTACTTATGTTACGCAACGACAGAGAGATACGACTGCTAGATCCCTCTTATGCCTACCCACCCATCACATTACTCGCTTTGCAACGTTATGCCAAGTGCTGAAAAATGAGCAAGCGAACGGCAGTAAGCCAGGAGGCGAGATTAAGGAAACCGGAGGGAAGCTCATTCGTTTACACCAACGCTCCTCGCTAGACTTCTCCGTGCCGAGCCGCGCTACCGCCGCCTTTCACGGAGACGCGCCCTTCCCCCGCTCAACCCTCCTCCTGCCCAGCCAGAGTGCTTCCAGGCGCTTCTTTCGTCCCGGCTGCGACGCCTGCTTTCGTTTTCGACCCCGTTCCTTCGGGGCCCATTTCTCCTGGCCTCCGTCGCCCCGGGGTCCCTCACCGACGTTGCCCGGCCCTCACTTCCGCGTGGGGAGAAGCAGGCGCCCGGGCACAGCCCCGAGTCGGGGGGATTCCGGAAGCGCCAGCAAGTGGCGCCCGCAAACGTTCGTGCCTTCTCGTGCAATTTGCACGCTGGAAATCCCCCGGGTCTGTGGCCCCGGCAGGCGCAACCCGGCTCTCCTCCCGGATTTGTACACAGCCGGTCCCGCAAGACGGCCACACGCTTTGCGCGTTGTTTGCGTGCCTTGAGGCGCCTCTCTCCAATTCCCCACTTTAGTTCACGCCCCTCCAAGGCGCGCAGATCGGTCTCCTCGCTCCGGCGGCGGCGTTTCGCCTTTTCTGCAGAGCCCGGGGGCGGCCCTGCCTTTGCTCTGCCCAGCCACGGAGACCACCCTCCCTCCTCGTTGCATGGCACAATCTCTCCAACAGCTGCTGCAAATCGTTCAGCTTCGCAGCCAACAACGGGCCCCACGTGCCTACAACGGACACGCAGCATCCCCACAAGCCGGGAGGGAGGCGTGGGAGGAGGACACGGGAGCCGGACCGTGTGAACTCGGCAGAGACACGCGTCCTCCCTCTCTTCTCCGGGCTTCAACTTCCCCGCCCCGGGTTGCTCCGCGCTGCTGACCCCGCAGAGGAGAGGGACTACATTTCTTTCCCCCATTTCATGCCTCGGGACCCTCCGCACGCGCTCCGAGTGCCTGTCCGCCCTCCCCCGGGGCAAAGGGAGGGACTACATTTCCCAGGGATCCCGGCCCGAGGAAACGGGGGACGGCGAGAGCCGGCCGCTGGGCGTCTGCGCCTGCGCAGGGCTCGGCCGGAGTGGAGGGGCAGCGGGGGCAAGGCGGCGCATGCGCACCACGCCGCCCTCGCGCTTCTGTCCCGGCGGACGCGGCGGATTCCGCTCTCGCCCCTCTCGGGCCCCAACGGCGCGAGA